TCGCTTTCTCGTTCCTTTCTCTCGTTTCCACAGGCTTTCCCCTTGTTTTCCTTCCTTTTTCGTATCTCCCTTTCATCCGAATGCAAGTTCACGGTTAAATGTTACCGGAGAGAGAGAGAGAGGAAGAGAGAGAGAGAGGGAGAGAGGGAGAGAGAGAGAGAGAATTATTTGGCATTTCGAATGGCACAATCGTTAACCTTGTACTGCGATATTCACGTAGTGCCTGCGTGTCTTTCTGTGAAAATACGTGTGTCCCTGCGTGTCAGTGGATGCGAGTGTGTATCGTGCGTGTCGGTGTGTATGTAGTTGAATGTCCGCCAAAAATTCTCTTTACTTTCGACACTCGCGTTTCGACGGAAAAGGATTCAGTGTCAGTTAGCCCGGCCGCGCAGCCGTCTGGCGTTGCCTGCGGTTCGTTGGAAAGCTTCCTCGAAAGTTTACGAGAAAAATAAAGATTTCGTCTGGCTCGCGCCGAATAATACTACTGCGCCGGTTAGTCTAAAACCGTTCTCCCGGTTAACAGACGCGCCCGACCTGTGTGTTCGTTTTCGAAATATCCAGAGACGTACGCTGTATAAAATCATGATATTCGGATGATACAACGCGCGTCGCTCGTATCGATTCGTCTAAGATCGGTGAACGGGTACGCGTACAATTCGACTCGGTGAGATATATACAAATTTCGAAACGGTAATAGAAACTGGAATTTCCAAGTGTGATGCGAATCTCGTACTGTTTTGGGACGATCTACTGGGAACGGAATATACAATTGTACTCTTCCTCCGTTAACGATGCGAAAAGAGGGTTGGAAACAGTTGAATGATTTTGCGATACCCCAGACGTGCGTTTAAGATTCTTCGAGAAGACGAGCAAAAATCCGTCGACGCATTCGGGAGAAGAAGAACCGATTCGCTGGACCGAGATTCGAACCCGGATCGTTCGTTCTTCGAAACGAATACTCTGCCAGTTGAGCTAACCAAGCCATCATCTGGTTCTTCTTCTCCTAAACAACCCCCGCAAAGTCACTGGACACTAGATTCACGCCATAGGCACGCAATGAAATCGCTGGACGCACGAGAGCGCAATAAAAATAGAATCCTTTAGAGACACTTGAGAAAGCTTTTATTTGATTTTCCATCCGATTAAGATCTCGTCAGCAGAGAACAAACGAATAAACGATCTCGCGTGCGAATTCATCTATATTAAAATTATTCTTACACAACGTAAAATGATCGGTCGCGCGCGCGCGGGAAAGAGGAAAATAATTTACGTATAAAAAGAAAGACTGAAAATCATTCAACTTCGAGTATTTCTCTCATCTTTAACGGCGTATAACGATTGTACTTCTCGACTATAACAATAAAATAAAATCTCTAGACATGATCGTCCGCGTCTCGCCGTTCCGTTTCCGGTGGACCAGCCATCGTCGCGCGAAATAGAACGACAGGTTTCGCCGGCGTGCGCGCGTTCCGCCGCCGGTAGCATTATTCGGTGTCCCGAGACGTCCCGCGGAAGCGGCGCGTGCCGATCGTAACTGTGCACCCGTGGGAACCACTTCGAATGACAATTTTGACCTACAGAAGGAACCTATTTGGACGGCAATTACTTTCTACCCTATGCACGTTCGCTCTCGCGACCTTCTCTTCACCGGCGTTCCTCCTTTTTCTTTCCCTTTTCTCCGTGCTTTTCTTGCTTTTGGTCGACTTCCTTCCCTTCCTCGTTCTCCTCCACTTTCCTTCCTCTCGTTCGCGTCGGGGAAAGCGTTGAATATCTTCCATTGATCGTCCTGCCGTTATCGCAAACGACGTCCGAGACCGTCGGGAGTTCTGGCTCGAAACGGGGTCCTTGCGTTCGATCGAGCACACAGGCGACAACGACACTTAATACTATTGTTTCGTTTGTTTCCTCGCCGAGGCGTGTCCGTGGTTCCTTGGAATTTCATCGACGCGCACCGCTGTCGCTGGCTGACCGATCGCCGAACGGAAGAATGGAGTATGACCGACGAACGAAACGATCTCGCTGCTAAGTACGTGGACAACGTGGAGACCCGTGCGCGCGATCGTGGATTTTCATAGCGTTCTCATGCTCTCCTTCTCGTTTCCTTCGTTCCCCGTCGAAAACGGAAGCTCGGGCCGCGACCGATCGGGAACTCCGATCGGAAGATCGGAGACACGACGACGTCTTTGGTTCGCTAGCGAAACTAGAATCTCGCGACACCGCCGCGGCGATTCGCGCGAGCATCGGGATCGGTTTGATTGTTTCGTCGCGAGAAGATTCTCCCCGTCGTTCCTCGCGTTCCTCTGTTTATCCTTCTTCCTTCGGTCGAGCTTCCTCTGGCGACCGGTGTTTCGTTAATTGACTGCCGCCCGTTCGTCCCCTGCGCGGACCTCTTAACCCTTTCGCTACTACGGGTGACTATAGTTACCAGCCACGGAAACGGAGACAAAAGTTAAGACAATACGAACAACAACAAAAATACATTCGTGGAAAGATTATAAATACATTGCTACGAGTACGAATCGTTTTGCTTCTAAAAGCAGCGTCACAATGGCGATTTTGAGACAAAAGGACACCGAATTCTGAAGACTGCGCGCGCTTGATGTTTGCGTCTTTGGCGCGGCGTTCTGTTTTAGCGAAAGGGTTAATCTCGGAGTACGGTCCAACACTAGAACTACCGAGCAATTGAACTGGCTGTTCTCTTCGTAGAAACTGTAAGAGTGGATTTATTGAAATCTCAAGTAGCTTGTACTGTAATTCGTATGGTACCGAATCCAACTTCGTTGACACTAGAACTACCGGATGAATCAAAATGACCCATTCCTGATTCCATTCTGTCCAATTATTCAACAGGTAACACATGCTTCTTTGAAAAAGTACTAGAGAAACTCAGCAATACGCAGACCGAATCGCGAATCAACCGAAGCCTCAATAATTGCACTGTCTCTGCGGAACAATTTCAAAAAGACAATTCAACTGCTCGGCAGTTCTAGTGTTAATCGCTTCTCGAAGAAGCGTGTCCGTGCCTTTCCGATAATCGTCAAAGAGAGATTGATGAACGGTAGTTCCAGTGTTAAGAACCGAATCAATTACAGCGATCGATTATGCGCCACGCGGAAGAGAGAGAGAGAGAGAGAGAGAAAGGGAGAGAGGCAGAGGAAAAGGAGACGCGAAATAAAATAGAAAGAACACGAAGGGTACGCGCTACGCGGGTAAAATTGTACTAGAAGATGAGCATCGATCACCATGACGAAAAGGGTAACGCAAACCGCCTCTCTTCACGGATCCAAGAAAAAAAAATAAAACGGTTCTACAACATATGCATATGAAATACATACATCTAAATATATAGTCCTCGAAATACCATCTCGAATTTCAATTCCGTTCGCGTGCGCGTCGACTGTTCGGTACACGCGAACCACGCTTAACTTTAACGTAAAAACGGATAAAATACTTCTAACGATTAACCGTAACGATAATTAATTAATCGATTAATTAGTCAATAATAAAAGAATCATCGAAAAATCTGTCGGCGGAATGGCAGCGCGATGTCCGGAGTCGATCTTCTGCACCGGCTGCCGCGTCGCAAAAGTCCATCGAGATCAAAGAAACGTGTCTACTACTCGCCCCCCCTCCCC